TATGGTTATTTAGAATTATCTAACCCTACATTACTGTGACTATTTAACTTGTAAATGATACCCTTATCACTAATAGCACTAGAGCCTCATCTAATCCATGCATGCATAGGTAGCCATTTTCTCATATTTTCTTATAATTTGCAAAGTGTCCTTCCGAATCAATCTGAAAGCATTATTTATGCAATTTACCATTTGTATGGATCTTTGCAAAAAAAGTGCCATGTATCAAAAATCAAAGTGTTCTGTTCTGAAAAGTGAGGAGACGATGTAAAAAGGGAATGTGCCTGCTGTTTTGCACGGGTTACTATGGTGATTTTTTACTTTAAGTACTTTGTGCCATTTTTAAGAACATGACCCTTTGATAAATCTTCACTCTAGTGTCCTTCTAATTCATGTCACATTATTTATCTATGGTAGATTTATTGTAGTGGAAATTATTGTAAATTATATTCAATTATTTTTGCAACTACTTCTTTAATTTGTATATTACATTAATAACACTGAGGTCTGTTTTAGAAACTGAAGTGCCTCTAGAGTTTTTCTGTTTTTCATTTTCATACCTATCTTTCGAAGTTCATAGTGCACTTCAGAAATCGTGATCTCATCTAAGACTTCCAGATCCAATAAGTGCAGTAGTCCTAGCGCCATATAAGTATGACTTTTGAAATCAAACCCAGCTACAACCAAACCCCAAGTGTTAATTACTCTACGTGAACACAAAATAACACTAACTCAAAACCAAAAACTGGGGAGTGCACTATTATTATTGTAAATAAAAACACAATACCAAAAAATGGACTATGCTTAACAATCTTCCATCTTCCATGTGCAAAGTACAAATAGAGCAGAGAATTCAAACATAATTGAGAAAACAAAATCAGACCCATTTGGTATCTGATGAGAATTTAACTTAATCTTTACCTGTTAGAGCATATGTTTCCATACAGACACATAGAGCGATATCCTCAGGATCAACTAATCTCTTGATTACGCTAGATTTATATCCCATGTTCTTCTTGACGCAATACATGTTATGCCATTTAAAGGTTAAGCGGGGTAGAGACATCTGTATAAAACGTATTGGACGGCAGGTCTCACTTTATCTGTGTAGCCAAAAGATTAAAAAATTAGCAGGAAAATAATGTGTGCTTGCTAGGGGCCCAGGCAATATATCCTGAAAAAATCACTTAAGGACTGGGTAGAAGTATGTCTTCATTCACCGTATGCCTGTTATATAGATTATGATCTTGTTTGACAAATGTAGATGTACATGCTCTTTCTTTTTTTTTTTTTTTTTTTTGGAAGAAGATATTACTTCCCTTATCTACAGTTTTAAATTATTATTTTTTTCCAGTGAGAATTTAATGTACTGGGATTGAACTCTTGTGTTCAGCCTGGGTGTTGAATAGCGAGAGTGATAATAGTGTTTCTCTCACATACATCAACTTATTCTCAATTTGACCGTAGACAAGTAACAAAGCCGGTGTGACATGAAAAATTGAATTCCTCCAGGCTGACAAATAGTAATGTCTGGTCTGTGTTAAAAGACTTTCTCACAAAGTAGGGCATGCAGAAACCAAATCATTGCTAACCTTTTAGACCAACATTTCCTTATCACCTATCTCCATATCTTTTTAATCTATGTGTTATTATATAAAGAAAAACATTTTGATCGGAAATAATACCAAGTGTTTAAACCTGCACATCATCCGGCATCTTTGTCATGATTACAACATTCCTTTCTTAATTTATAAGCCAACATGGATGTGAAATAGACAAAGATTATCAGTATGGTCAATGAGTTACAGACGTTCCTTTTAAGAGAGCAATAAAAAATTATGACAAAGTGTTTACTATTCAAGAACTAATAGCATGTTGCTTGACTCAGTTGTTTTATTTGTGAAAAGCAGATGTCAAATTGTAGAATATTACTCAATATCAAGTCCTAGATATGAATATATAATTAAAAGAGACTGTAACCTGGTTCCAAATTAAATCAGTATGTAGCCAATTAAGTGGAATGCCTCTTCGGAGTCCAGTTATTGTCCTTGGTTCATGTATAAAAGTACAAATATTGTAAAATTGGCAAATCAACTGTTCCACCTCCCATCAATATTAATTTACTCATTTCCAAACCTGACATAGACATTTATCTTTAATTTAACATACTAAGTCACTGTATACAAAAATGATGTAGAAGATGTACTCATTCTACAAATCGTCAGGTTAAAACAATAACATTAGTTGGTTTTGGTCTTGGTACACACGATACCCTCAGTTTTATGATGTGTCCCTACTAGGCCGAGTAAACAATCAGGGAAATTTTTCAACAATTTGGGATAGGGTGAAAGATTACCCTATGGCTTTCAATAACTAGAATGCTGCATTCCTGGTTTCAGTACATTTGTAGGTCAGTACTAAGTTGTGAGGGTTATATCATACCATGAGACTGATGATGATTGTTGGCTCAGGAAACCTTGCACACACTTAGCCAAGAAATGAGTACATTTGACATGGACATTGTTTCCTGACAAAACTGCATTATTATCCTTAAGCAGTCGATTGTTGGCAAATTCTAGTTAAGTTAAAACAGCTATATTAAGAACCATCTCACCTGCCCCGGAAAATAAAGGAAATGCTTGGGCCACAAGAAGTCGTATGCATACAGTACGTTTTGCAACGGTGTCTGTTCTCATTTTTGCGTGTTGAAATATCTCACTTAAAATGGGAGAAACATAAGTTATTTCTTATTTTCTGCTTCAAGTAATCATGTAGAAAGTTGGACCGGGCATATATGAAAGGGTATCAAGCTTGAGAAAGGCTCTTGTGGGAGCCGGTGGTTTTCCAGTATAAGCTGGCCTAAACACCAGCTATAATTGCCCGGTCCAACTTTCTTCATGATTATTGACATGTTACAATGGTCCACCCTGGTCTGTAGGCACCACGGATGGAGATTTTAGAGAGTGACACTACACTTTATGTATATTTCTGCTTCAAGTATCACTGCAACTTGAATCACTTCACAACAGTAATGCATAGTTTCATTTTATTTCAATTTAAGCTACTTTTAGTACATTTAGTTGGAATTACCATTTAAAGATCTGTAAATGCTTCCGTATGGCAGTGACCATTTTTAAATTGCATCAACATTTCAAATCCACCAGTGACATTTCCTGCTTGCAGAGAACATGTGATGTCACTAGCCAATTTAAATGTGACGTAACGTAGCTCACAGCTTTCCGTGGAGTAAAAAACAGGAAATTGTTGTTCGATCTGTCTAATGATGCTTTGTGCATTCTATATAAAAAGTGAGCTGGACATAATTTATTTGATATTTATAATAAAAACTGCTTAGAAGAAGATGATGATGGTGATGACAAATTATCAACATAAGATAGACAGTTTTTGGAATTCAACCGAATGACACATGCATATATATATGATGACAGAGCCACTGTAAGACAAAAAATATATTAAGTGTTACATGTGTTCTTTAACATGTTCAGTTTGCATGTCTCTCTAAATACGTACTTTTAACATTTAAAAAAATTTGTGCACACATTCAGCTAAAGATGATTTGCTCGCCTAAGAGTTATTTGAGTACTAAGCAAATGTTGCGGGAATTGAGTGATGTGTGTTTACTGATATTACCTAATGATGACAACCAGTTATGATTTATTACTGCACAAACTTGTAAATTAATTTTAAGTGAGCACAATGCATTTAACTGTGCCAAAGTGTGGTGGTCAAACACTGCCATAACATTTCTGTTAAACACAAATGTTACAATGGTCTGTTTTATTGAATTGTGCCATACTTAAATTGATCTAAATATAAAACTAATAGAGAGTCTCTGTTTGTAAAAGAAAACCTGGTCATTATTCACATTAATCCATAATGATAGCTTTACAGCTTTGTTATAATCTGATGCATTTTGTTATACGGTCTATTTTTTTACGTTCATTTTAATAGCATCATTAATCCATTGGAACACACATTGACAATTGCTGCAAATCAAGTGATTATTCTACAGATTGGGTTATTTTTTTAATAGACATTGCTGCAACAAACAATCATTATTTCTGCTTTTTATTGAAAGATATCAGTTTCAATCTTATTTGTGTGATGGTAGAGGGTAACTCAAGCAATACTCAAGTGTTAGTGAGTCGAAAACACAGAATAAAGCTCATGGGCGTCATTTAAAGATCATTCCAAAAATTACACAAATGACCTCTTACTAGTTTCAATAGTAGTTTCTTATTTATAAGAATGTTGTCCCAGAACTATTATAGGTTCAACTATAGAGCCATGTTCTCAACCAGAATGCCTTACCTATGAAAAAATATCAGTGTCATAAAATCAAAAATGCCGCGCTTAATGAAAAACGTTTAATTTTGTTCAGCCCTAACCTTTACCTAAAAATACAATGTAATATTAAGTAGTCACCCTAGTTAGATTCTGACTCATGACACACATTCAAATTTTAACACTCTAGGGTTTTCACAGTGACATTTTATTTTATTTATCTTTTTTATATAGTGTCATTCTTTCAAGTCTAGTTTCTGTCTTCCATTTAGCATAAAGTTCATGATCACACGTAAATTTCACAATCACCCTACAGGTTCACTTAATCAGCCAAACGTTTTGTAGAAATACTGTAAAATGATATTATTCTTTTTATTAATCATAGTATATTAACATTAATAATTGTGCTAAATGACAGCGTTATTCAATGTTTTCACTTTTACTAGTCTCATTTTCTATTTTTTGTTATCTGGAATTTAAATGCGTTGTTTTATGAATTATTCTGCTTGTTAATTTAATGACTAAATGGTATGTACAATATTTATTAATGAACTGACACTGTAGAGCATAGTGTATATTTTTCTAATAAACGGATTGTTTTAAAAGACAAGGATCTGTGTTTTTTTGTTTTTTTTTTAAATTACCGTAGCTCATGTTTATCCACTAGATGGCAGTACCTTACCTACATCGTTTAATTAAGCAATTAAAAGTAAATTAAAAATGAGCATGGAAACGTGAAGAAAAACACAATATGTTAAGAATATAACAAGTATGTTATAATAGTATCAATTTCTACACAGGAGCTCAAACGTACATGGAAGAAAGCAGAGGGGTCAACCATGTAAACAAATTGTATAATAAAATAGATGTGTATTATTAAAGTTATATAGGATAGTAGAAGACACATATATGCATAAAAGTTTATATTACCAGCTTCTTGTGTTTTTTGTCAACATCTGATGTCTGGCTTTTAAAATGAACTTTCTCTGTTTAGATGCTATTTGTTATCTGTTTCTACCCTATATGTTTTATTCAAGCAAGCTCTACTTTCTCATAGGCCTTCAATTCAAACTGCAATGTAAGATACAAGTGATAATATATATATATATATATATCCTATTGTGATGGGATTCCAGTAGAGTATAATTTATTATATTTCTTGTGCTTCCTCCTGCCCTGTCTACTCCCACAAGTGGTCAGGTCTATACGTAGTGTTACAGAGAGCACTATAGAAAGAAAGACAGCTGCTCATGTAATGGCTGTCTGGAAGTATGAACCCCTAGCCCACAGAGAGAATAATCGGGATGAGGAATGTTGAGAGAGCACGAAGTTAAGTTAGAATGATTACAAGGTCTGTACTGGTTCATGGTTTCTTGAGTGGTGTTGGCAGATTATGATTAGTGATGCATCTGGAATAATGTTATATCAGAAGCATCAAAGGGGGGAATGTGATGGGATTCCAACATGGTCAAAATCTCCACATGGCATATGCTAATTAGTATCTGATTACAAACAGTTGGATGAGTCATCAGTGTACTGAGCATGTGTGGAAGTGGATAGTAAAATCCTTTGTCTTCAACAAGCCATGTGGTCTGCCATATAAGGTGATCCTGAATATCCTGTGTGCTGATTGGTCTGAGGAATATCGGAGGGGTTATACTGTATGGGAGGGGATATGCTGTTAACAAAAGTCCTGTACACCAGGTATTTGTCCCTCAGATCTTTTGGAACAGGAGTTCATCTGAGACCCGATCGGTAATGTGAATAAAGGCCTCTTACTTCCTGAATACCTGTGTCCATCTCTCTGTGTTTGGCTTCTGCATGCTTACACTGTTACACTATACCAAGCCAGTGGCCTTTACAGAGCTTCAACTGTTCCCAACACATGGAGATTTATTGGGAAACATTATGCACAGGCCAATGGCATTTCTAGGGGCTCCATGTACTCCTTAGCCAAAGTCCAGTTCAATGGTATTTCTGAGGGCTACCTGTGTTACCTTGGTTCCATGTTAAGAGACAATGTCTCCTGAGTAAAATCTCTTGCACAAAGGTCAGATTCATTTCTTTCATGCCTTTTGTGATGCCCTTTAAAAAGCACTGCCGTTTGGAATCGACCCATTTATTTATTCAAAGCATTTTATGAGTAAAAACAGCCAATCCAAAACAATAAAAGGTTAAAAAAAATGCTCACTTTCTTTCTTTTTTTTTTTTTATTCTTTTTTTGCTGTGCAGGAGTTTACAATCGAGCTTGCCATACCATGGTAACAATAGCATGCACTTCAGGAACAGACATCATGGCATTTAATAAAATTGCACTTGGCAAGAGTATCAGGCTGGTCAAACATGTCTAACTGTTAAGCTAAAATCAAGACTCAAAGGACTAACTAGACATGTAGAGTGTAGGTAAACATGACGATTCAGAAAGCAGGTTATAAGCTATATATAGAGTGAAACATGACCTGCAGTTTTACTACATAACATGCTCGCTAGTAACTCAAATGAGTAGACCACTGGGTAACGAAACTAAACGTTACGTTGCTGCATTACTTTAAAGAAAATCAACTATAACTAAAAGAAATAATAGTAATAATTGCTTTGTTCAAGACATAAGATGGAAACCAAGGTGGCGTCCGCCTGTGTGGGTGACCACAGATTGCAGGTGAAGTCCTGAAGCCAGGATCAACCAATTCCCCTGAGTGGTAATAGCAAAGTGTTCCCTGGAAAGTCACCATGCATGTCTCAGTTTTCAATGATGGATGATTGCCATGTAAACAAGGTCCTACTAGACCAGGGGTGCCCAACTGGTAGATCCCCTGACGTTTTAAAACTACAGCTTCCATGATTCTTTGTCAGTCTATGGGCATTGTAAATGCATGCATAGTATCAAGGGTGTTGTAGTTATTTAACATCTGCAGATCTACACATATATTATATTTATATAATATGTATATATATATATATCTTATATATAACATCATACTAAGTGTATTTTTTATAAATATATACATATATTAATATAAAAATCACATGTATATATATATAATATATATAATAACTATATATTGTGTATATATATATATATATATTATAAAAATAAATAATAATTAGTTAAAAATTTAAAAATAAAAACTTTGACTGGAACGTTGTGTGAATTTGTAATTGCTCAATAAAGCAACAGATGAAATTTACCTTGAAAGACTCCTGAGTGCTCTCTACTGGTATCGTATACAATTTGGTTGTAGACAGCATTGGAGCATTAAAAGACTGGGAGCATTGAGTGCTGGGACCTGGGACGTATATATATATATATATATATATATATATATATATATATATATATATATATATATATATATATATTATTTTTTATTTTTTTAAAAATAATAATTAATTAAAAATAATAAAAAAATAAATTAAAAAAATTATATATATATGTAAGTTTATTCTAACTGTATTTTGATATTAATATATATATATTTATATCAAAATACACTTAGAATGAAATTATATATATTTCTATGTATATATAAAGAAAGAAAAATGATACGAAATATATATATATATATATCGATCCATATACATAATTACATTAATAATTTCATATATATACACGTAGACTTCAAATATATAAATATGTATATATATTCAAATTCAACGTGCATATTTATGCAGTATTTTTACATAATTAAATAATTTTATTGACTGCAATTTGAGGTACCAGCCTGACAACCCAGGCCAAAAGTCCAGAGAATTTAATTTGCTAGCACGGTATTTAACCCTGTAACTTTCCATGACACTCTAAAACCTGTACATGGGGGTTTACTGTTTTTCTCGGGTAACTTCGCTGAACACAAATATTAGTGTTTCAAAACAGTAAAACATATCACAGCAATGATGTTGTCAGTAAAATTGAAGTTTTGGGCATTTTTCACACACAAACGGCACTTTCACTGATGAAATTGTTGTGATATGTTTCACTATTTTGAAACACTAATATTTGTGTTCAGCGAAAAAAGAGGAAAATTACAGCTGAACACAAACACGGCAGAAATGTAAAAACAGCCCTTGTCCTTAACGGTAAGAAAATTGGAAAACGGTCTGGTCCCTAAGGGGTTAAAGGTTGATGTATACAAACCAAACATAATGAAGTCCTTAGTTGTTACACGATGAAGACAGATCAATACAAAATTTTTTAATCTGTCCGTCTAAAGAAACTTACTTTATACTGAATATTTACTTCCCAAAGTCTCCCACTGACACATGTGTAAAAGAATTGGAGGGTGGGCAGTGAAAACATTAATGGGGTTATTCACTAAAGTCCAAATAGCCCGAATAAAGCAAAATTATTTGTCTGCGTATAGGGCCATTCAAACTGCAAAATATGGACATTGTTCACGTTATTCAACTATTATTTTGCAATTCAGGCCACAAATATGCTTGAATTTGGTATGGATTTAAGCGGCACCTAATGCTGTTGGACAACTGAAATCCAGAATACTAGGTCTTCCCCACTGAATATTATAATTAGGGTCACCACTTGCCAAAGGCCAGGGGGAGGACACTAAGTTGTCCCCAATTCAATATGATAATCGGGTCCCCACCCTATGCCTGTGGACAGGGGCTGGTGGGGGGGACTCAAGGTTGCCTCCCATATACTATAATGGCAACTACTCAGTGAGAATGGGTGGGAGCAGGAGCGACATAAGGATGTTTGACCACCCATTGTGAATAGTAAATAATAGTAAATAACCCTGTCTGAACTGGAGGTTGTCAATTCCATTGTGAAATAAATTTTGATTAGAGCATGTTTAGAATTGTGAGTATAACTGATCTAATGTGAACTTTGTGAGATTCTGTAGAGTATTAAATATAGAATTAACTAAAAAAAAATATGATGTAGCATTGGATGAGGAAATTGTGGAATTAATTATGTTTAATAGAATTTTTAACTCAATTTAAGAAACAGGACATTCTTGAGAAGATTAGACATTTTTTCTGTGGCATCCTGAATAAAGGTCAATAAATAGGCTGCTTAATCAGCTTTACAGAACTACTGGTATGTATTAAGATGAGTTGATTATTTAAAGAATAGATATTTGTGAAAACCCACAGATATTCTTGAAACTGATCCAAATATTTTATTTTAATCTTTATTTTATATGTATCTTAGAACTACATGAAATATATAATCACTCGTCTAATTTCGGAATTTTCTGATGATACAAAACAAGTCACAGTAGGTAAAGGGTAAAAAAAAAAAAAAGAAAAAAAGCCCACAGACACAAGAGATGGGGAAATGCGCAAATCCAAGACCAGATCACAAAATAATCAGTATTATTCTTTAAAAAGCTAATTGTGAGGAAATGACTGGGAAATTGCACAGGCCAACATAGTAAAAATAGCTGATTTATAGGATTTGTCCAGTTAGCCTAAAATATTCAAGTCTGCGTTCACAATTCCTGCCAATTTCTTGTTTAATGCCTGACTCTTTGCATATCCTCAATTCATTATTAATCCATGAACTAGACACAGGGGTAGGCAGCCATCGGCACTCCAGATGATGTGGACTACATCTTTCTTGGTCCTTTGCCAGCATTATGGATTAAGAGGATTATGGAAGATGTAGTCCACAACACCTGGAGTGCCAAAGCTTACCACGGAACTAGAGTATGCTGGATCTATCAATCCT